TCTGTCCCTGCTGAGCTTCCAGATGTCGACTAGCTATGATTCTCTGAATGGGATCCCCAAAGTTCATGCATGAAGTCTTGCTAGTTGTCCACCACCGGATTGTTCCCCTCAACAAATAGTATTGCCCACTTAGCTGCTGCTTCCTTCAGCAAGCTCAGCACAAAAGTAACTTTGGTGCAATCAGTGAAAAACTCCACCTGCCTGCCTGCCTGCCATAAACATTTTATACCGAGCAATGAATGTCTGGAATTGATCCTGATCCCCTCTGAACTTCTCCAGCAAACTCCCATGGGAACACAGGAACATTGACTGGGCTGCCATCCGTTGTGTTGCTGCAGGTTGAGGCAAATTCTGCCCCAGTTGTTGTGTTAGTTGTATCATGGCATTTTGCAAATTGGTCATCTGTGCATCTACCTGCTGCTGGTGTTGCAACAACGCTGCTGCCAGATGCTCAGCAGACAGCAGAGTTCCTTGAGGATCCGAAGCCATTCCTGAAATTCCTCTCTTTGGAAGAGAGTAAGATAATGCAAGATTGATGTCAGCTTTCCCAGGTAGACAAGACAGGAAACATGACCAGATGAGCTAATTCTACTTTATTGTAAGGCTACATTAACAGAATCTTGCAAGTCTGAAAGTACAAATCTCCTGCTGTTTCTTTTATTGCCTGATAAGTTAGGGAGGTTCCTTTCTGAATTTCTTTCTCTGCCCGTTATCCAGCTGCAGGCTATACCCTCTTTTATCTGATCATTTCCTAAGCAGCAACTCTTTTCCCCATCTCCCAAGGTCATTCCCACATGCCATTACAATAAAAATATAGAAACTGGGCATAGCAATTCACAGCTTACCTCAGTGACGTTCAGATATTTCAATAATATTTACAAAATGTTTGGTTATAAATTGTACAGAATGAATCATGGCTTACTAAAACTGACCTCAGAGAAGACTGAATTTATGGAAAATATCTTGAAAATGATGACTTTTGGGGGAGGCATGTCAAACTGAAGACATCTCCGCAAAAGCGGAGCCGATGACTGTGGCAAAGACCAAAGAACTGGTGAATAGATTGATTCTTCAGAACCTCTCTGGATAAGGAGGATGGGAGATTGCCTACATGTGCTCTGGACAGCTGTTCCTCACAAGGAGACCACAGGACAGTGTTCTTCTGTGGGGTTAAGCACTCGGAGACAAAGGGATTAGCCATCTTGCTCAAACCATGGCAGAGCCTTTTAAAGGACACTAAGTTTGCAAGCCTCACTTTCTAATCACTTTTGGAAATTACCCATTAACCATCTTAAAGCTATTAGAGGCCTTCAGAACAACAAGTCTGAAAAGTTGCCTGGTGAGTTTAGCTTCAACTCTGAACAAAAGAATAATTTACTACAAGCTTAAGAACTTAAGTTACAAATGCATTAAGGGTCCAGTTAAATTTGGAATATTAACTTTTACTGCAAGATTTTGGAACTAACTATAAAAAGCAAATAGTTTCTCATGGGAACTAGAGTATTTTGGCTATCTTGGCTCATAATAAAGGTAAGTGACTTTATGATTTTAGAAACTGGACACTAGAGGGGAAATAAAAATGACAAATTAAGAGAATGGCCTGGAAAATGATTTCTTATTGGATCTACAAAAGAGGCTTGTTAAACCCTTGAAGAAGTCTGTGCAATGAGATAAAGAAGAAATGAAGAAAAATCAAATCCTATGACAATATTTGAATGAACTAAAGATTAAGACTGTTAGAAGTAAAAGAAAGGAATATAAAGTTG